TTTGACTTGTAAATGAACAACTTCTATGTGCTCTTGAATATTGCACTTTGTAACACATCCTATTTCCATTACTTTGACGATTCCTGTCACTTGGACTTCTCATTATAATGCTTCTATTACTTTAATATTTTCACGTGTGTCTCCAGCTATCATTACTAGTTGAGGACTGAAGTGATGAAAATTAACTAAGATGATAAATGTAAAAAAGAAATGAAAAAGTGGAACAACTTGGGAGAAAAAGTTCTTGGTGTAGGGGTTTTCATCTTCTAATTTTTATCTAAATTAGATGATAAATGTCAAAAAGAAATGAAAAAGTGGAACAACTTGGGAGAAAAAGTTCTTGGTGTAGGGGTTTTCATCTTCTAATTTTTATCTAAATTACACAATGCAGATGAAATTTATTCGTCTCTTATAATCAATATGCTAAATAGTTTAGGAGAAAATTTTATTGAAAACTAATCAGAAATTCGAATTTATATTAGAAAGCATTGTTTCTTGGAGTGCTGTTTATTACAGTGCACAAAAGAAAAATTGGTGGAATGGTATGACACCTAGCTTAAATTTTGTGATAAGATAGAATCAGCTGATAAAGATCAGTTCTCAGAATCGTGAATGTGAAAAGACATTTTAAGCATAAGTGTGAAGCATTTTTAGACAGTAGAAGATGTGTTGCTTCAACAAAACCTGTAGTATATCTAATTTTATAGTTGTCCTATATTCATCATTCGACAGCATATAAATCTGGAAAAAGTTGCCTATTCAAGGTTTTTATGTACAATATTTAAAATTTCGTGTACCGAATGTTGACTACCTCCTCCAACTGAAGATCGCTTATATTATTTTGGTTATGTGTTACCAATAAGTGAAATACCAATCTTTTGACAGCGAGAGGGCGTGGTGGGCCAGCAATGCCAAACAATGTCCAACGAAGTAATACCAGGCAGGGTGCTTGCATATACTGTCATCAAACAGGGCATTCTTCAGGCAATTGCCCTTCCCAATCTTCAGGTCCTCGAAGTTCGAGGCCTCAATCTATGAATGTTCAAAGTGGTATGACTGCTGAACTTCCATTTATATTTTTTGAGTTCATATTTTGTCAGAAGCTGTTGCATGGACTAAGTGACCAAGACAAGTATAATCATTGAGGATGGGAGCAAATGATCATTTAATGTTAGAGGACACTATGAAAGTGGAACGTGTCATCAATGTTATAGGTTTGGAAGTTTTAGGGAAATAGAATTCTTATTGGGAACTATTAAATTAAAGTGTACGACACCTTTTGGGAATATATTATGCCGGTTCCAGTGTGAGGTTACCGACATGAAGGCTTAACATATGCCTCTTTATGGTGGTGATGATAAGGTACGAATTATCTCAAAAAGCCTCCATGATATGATACATCCATCTATTCTCAACTGTAAACACCACCCCTAAAATGTAGAGCTAGCACCTATATGAGCATAATTTCAAACTATTTTGGGAGATTTTAGGATTCAAGCAGAAGACATCGTGTTCGGGATTATTGATTCTCTGAATTACTAAAGCACATTAGCAGATGAGCCCCCCTGGCTCACCTGCCCCGCGCTTCATTATTTTGTTTATATCCCATTTAATGTCAAGCCCCACTTGATCGAACTAATGTTTTTGATAATGGTGTGTATTTAGCAGGGCAAGTGTCAATCTCATGTAGTGCATGTGGTGCACCGTGTGCTTTACGGACAGCTAATACAACGTCTAACAGAGGAAGAAAATTCTACTCATGTCAGTCGCAGGCGTGCAACTTCTTTGTGTATGTACACAATACATATCATGTACTTCAAATTGCATCATTAGGGCCCATTGGAAACTCTTAGTATTTGGTTTTTAGTTTCTAGGTTTTTTTTGTTTTGTTTTTGTTTTTGTTTTTTTTTGGGGTAGTTAATGATAGAGGGAAATATATGGGAGGAAGGAGGGAGGAGGGAGGAGGGAGGAGGGAGGGAGGGAGGAAGAAGGATAAGGAGAAATGAAAGAGAATGTGTGAAATAAAAACTAGTTTGAATTGCTTTTATTTTTTGGTTTTTGGTTTTCAGTTTAGGTACCATCCCTCCTCCCCCTTCGTCCTCCTTTCTTTCTCCCTCTTTTCTCCTATGGATTTCCTCTCTTTTAATTAAAAATAAAAACTTAAAACCAAAAACGGAAGTGTTACCAAACAGGCCATATTTGATTGTTTTTTGGAAGAGCTGTCAAATGGGCTTCACAGGTAGCCACAATGTTTCATGCCTACTGTGTGTAAATGATCCATTGTGGCCTGCCTTGAGCGATACTTTAGTAGAAGCTTGTCTCTAACAGGCAGCTCTAGATTGAGGTTTTCATCCGGATGGAGATGACCTAAATGAAACATACAGTATCTAAAATGCTGGTCTGTATTTTTTTTATGCTGACCTATCTCATTACTGGTCTGTCCTTATTGCTCCTTGTGCAGATGGGAGGATAGCATAAACAATGGTAATAGAGGAAGAGGTTTTCAGCGTGTAAATGTTAGTGCCTCAGCATCTAACCCCAGTCGGAGTGTTGGCCATGGTAGAGGTGGCCGGGGTGCAGTAGATGCTGCTGGTGTGACTTTTGTGTCAGCAACTGGTGATCCCATCTCTGGTAGAAGGTGTTTTGTCTGTGGAGATCCATCACACTTTGCAAATGCTTGCCCGAATCGTGGTATCTGATGCACCTCATAAAACTGTACTTCAGTAACCTTTGTGTTTAAAGATTGATGTCATTCTTCAGCGTAGATACTACTACATAGTAGATATACAAAACAATATCAGGTTAGGTTCTTAGCAGTTGATAGTGATGTTATCAACTGAACTGAATTTTGATTTCAAAGGATTAACATTGTTACATATGAATCTGCAGAATTATAATGAGAACCCTCTGTGTCAAATGGCAATGGCTTTGGAAAATTTTTTTTTTAAAAAAAAAAACGACGTTACGAACGAAATTTCAAATATAACTTTATTTTTTAAATTAGCTCACCTCCATTTATTCCCTCTCCTACATAACTCTCTGCACTCTGTGCAAGCATTGCTTGTGATAGTCCTAGTAATTTAATTTCCTAACTCCAATATCATTTGCTACTCAACTCATGGGGGACGGACTAGAACCACCTCGCTAGTAGAATATGCTACAATCACTAGAATAAAAATATAATTGATTATTGTTGTAAAACAAGTTTAAATAATGGATTCGAGTCCTCTGCTTGATTAAACGAACCGGATCCTTGAATAATGCAAAAATCGCCAAATTAATATAAATCATAAGTGCTTAAAATCTTTAAAAGGTAATTACAAGAGGATTGAAGTTGGTGAGGTCAAATATGAGAAAGACGTTAACATGGCACATGCTAGAGAGCGAAGGGAGAGTCTATGTATCAACTTGTCCGCATCCGTTATACAATTTTGGCAATATTCAAGAAAAGGCCCACCACTGCCCACGTTAGCACGCATATATACACATGATGGACGTGCCAGATAAATGTAAGATTTCAACAAAAAAATTGTGCCTCATATAAACTCTACTATCATCCCGGTTAAGCCGGTTGGTTAAAACAATATTTTCGTCCTTTTACACTCTCGTTCGACCTCCCCTTTATGCATTAAGCTAGTTTAGAGTATCATTAGGTCAAACAAAAGACATTTTGCTACTGAAAAGCGAGAACTCGATCCCAATCTCTTTACATTAGAGTAGAACGCAAAGAACTTTACTATTGGAGAGAGAGAGAGAGAGAGAGAGAGAGAGAGAGAGAGTTTAACTACTAGTTTAGTTGTTCCTTGTTTTGTTGGCAAGCAAGTTGTGACGTGATTTGATTTCTAGTCCACGTCCCACTTGACTGGTAATTTATCTTGTTTAATGTCTTGGTAATACAATGGTTCACGGAATCATGCAGGAAACCAATTTTGGATACATAGGAAGAGGTTATGAAACTCTTCCACATAATAATCTAATTAATCTTCAATGTTTCTCATGAAAATATATATTCCTTTCTGAAGACAAAAAATATCCTCTTTTTCCGGTACGAGCAAAATTATCTGAGCTTTATATCAAAGACAAAAAGTAATTAAGTTGTGGTCTGAACCTTTTTTCCCTTTATTTTATTTTTATAATCAATGGGGGAGGGTGTCACTGTCAATGAAACAAACTATATGTCGCTATATTTGGAAATTTTCAAAAAACTAAGTTATTTAAGACATGACAAATGAGCAAACTACGAATAAATTAATAAATTATTTAAGAACTTTAAAAAAAAAAAATGAAGTTGAATTTACATTTCAAAAAATGGATTAACTACATAAAACACCCGAAACTTTAGGTGTAATTTCAAATTGGTATTATTAAGTGGTTATATTATTAAAATAGTAGATGCACAATCTCTAAATGTAATTTTGGTGCTGGGAAGTTCAGTCTAGCAGATAATATCTACCTTGCTCGGTAGGACTTCTCATGAATTACCGTAATTTTTTTTTTTGGGTCGATGAAGAGAAACTGAGCCAATTTTAGTTTTGTCAAGGTTAGATTAGATCCTGTAATGAATTATCTTGAAACATTATGGTAATAAAAATAGGATAAACTGCTGAATTGCCCTTTTAATGTTTTTATTAAAAAGATCAAAGGGTAAATTGATAATTATGTATAAATTCAGGGGGCAATTCAGTAGTTTACCATAAAAATATGGTTAAATGTAAAAAAGAAAAAGCGACGGTGCAGCTAGAAGTAGAAGATTCGTTTTGCTTTTATATTAATTAGCACATGGGTTTGTACTTTGGATGGATGGAGCAAAAATCTATAATAATTAAAAATTCTTGTTTACCTTTCCATGATTTCCATCCAGCCGGGTATTCTTTTTACCTTTTTGTGTCTTTACCAAAAAGAAAACTCCTGCCTGAAACAGAATAAAACATAGCAAAAAAGAAAAAAGATCTCTTGTTCTAATTTGTTGCATCTCTTGTGCTTTATAAAAATAAGAATGTTAGTAAAGAAGGGTGCATTATTATTAGTATTAATTATTATTATTATTATAATAATTTAGAGCAAAATGGCCGGACACTCATCTCTCTGGAGCAGGCACAAGAGAGAGAGAGAGAGAGAGAGAGAGATTAGCAAGTGAACAAGGTAGAGGAGCCGAAGAAACAGCATAAGATTTTCCTCCGAGACCATCTCCATGTTCACCAACCAACCAACAAGGATTTGATTTCCCAATTTCCAATTTCCAGTTTCCAATTCTCAACGGAACAGACAGACAAACAAACGCCAGTGCCATTGGAGTGACTGATTTCTCTGGGAAAGAAACAACGTAGGACTGAAGGCAGCCGGTGGTGAGATGAAGTTGTTGACCGGAGAAGGCGGGGGTGGTGGTGGGAAGACGGTGGTGGTCGGGGTGAAGTTAGATTCACACAGCAAGGAGCTGCTGACGTGGGCACTCGTCAAAGTGGCGGAGCCTGGTGACAATGTCATCGCCATTCATGTCCTTGAGGACCACCCCCACACCCCCTCTGGTCTGCTCTCTCTCTCTCTCTCTCATTGTGGTTTGTTTGTGATTGTTTTTTTCTTTTTTGTGGGTTTCTGTGTTCTGTTGAATGAATTTTGGTTTTTGGGTTTTGTAGAGGGGACTTCGTCTTTGCTCTCACTGGTAAAGACATTCGATTCTGTGCTCTCTGCTTATGAAGGTTTCTGCAACTTAAAGCAGGTTGAGTTCCTCATTTTAACTTTTTATTTTATGTTAACTTCTCCTGAGAAAAAACCACCTGAAAGAATTTTTTTTTAATTTTAATTCCTTTGGAGGTTGAGAATATTTGAATTGTAAACAGGTTGATCTGAAGCTTAAGGTCTGTAGAGGCAATTCTGTCCGGAAGCTTCTAGTACAAGAAGCAAAATCATACCATGCGGCTGCTACAATTGTTGGAACTTCCAAAACTCACCATAGAATTGGGTCATCTGCCTCTGTTGCCAAGTACTGTGCGAGAAAGTTGTCCAGAAGTTTCTCGGTTTTCGCCGTTGATAATGGCAAAGTCGTATTCAAGAGGAACGGACCTGATAGCAATGCAGATAAAATTCAAGGTTTGGATAATTCTTCTTCTGGGTTTTGTTGATGTTAGATCCAAGGATGATTCCTAGAGTGTGTTTTTGTTATAAATTTGTCTTTGGTGTTAGTACCATGCTTAACTCTTTCACTTTTTTGCCTTGTTGATGAACAGATAATGATCAGAACCAGAGTTATGACAAAACTAGTTTGTCACTGATCAAGAATGCAAAAGTACCTAATGATGCTAAACTTAATCAATGTCGACATCTAATAAGAAAATCTTGTTCCAAGTGTGGCAAGAAAACACTAAAGAGAAATTGTGAGAATTGTGCAGCGGATTCAGTTTTTCGGGAAACCTCTGGGACTCAATTAACTGATGAGTCGGAAGGGGAAGATGGTGAAGAAAATTCACTGGCCTTGGTACCAATCCAAAGACTCGACATTACATCAAACTCTATCAAGATTCAAGATTCGCAGTGTTTCAAACCTGGTTGGTCACTTCTTCGTCACACATTTCTACCAAAGCGACAATACATGGAGAAAACTGAGAAAAAGAAATCTGTTTTTGGATGGGCCTTGAGACCATTGAGCTGGAATACTTCAGCTGTTGTCTATCCTGATCACAAACTGGTGAATTCTGGACAGGATCATGATTGTTCTTCCATGCTGAATGGAATAAGTGGAGCAATTGTGCCGTTTGGGCCTAACGCAGTCTGCCCTCCTCTATCTCCTCACCATGGCATGGAGCCCCTTCCTGAAGAATTTTTGGATTTATGTAAGAAATATTCATCCAGTTGTAGACTGTTTTGCTATAAGGAACTTTTGTCAGCAACCTCCAACTTCGGGCCTGGTTTGTTTCTTTTCCCCAATTTTACAATCCTGGTTTTGAGTTGACTCAAAGTTGGATGTTATACTAACAATTCTTAAATTGAATTTTTCAGAGAACATGGTTGGTAAAGGTGGCAGTAGTAATGTTTATAGAGGCTGCCTTTCAGATGGCAAAGAGTTGGCAGTGAAACTCTTGAAGCCATCTGGAGATATCTTGAACGAGTTTGTTCATGAAATTGAGATACTCACAACTTTAAACCACAAGAACATAATCTCCTTATTTGGATTCTGCTTCGACGAAAACAACTTACTTTTGGTCTATAATTTTATATCAAGAGGAAGCCTAGAAGAGAACCTCTATGGTATCTATTTCTTTGGACTCGAAAACTTTACTCTCTTTTTTATCTCCCTATTTTCAGTTTTCTTAACTCATAAAGGATAATTTCTGATCAAGGTAATAAGAAGGATGGGAATGCATTTGGTTGGAAGCAGAGATATAATGTAGCCGTAGGTGTAGCAGAGGCCCTCGATTATCTACACTACGGCTGTGAAGAACCTGTAATCCACAGGGATGTGAAGTCTTCCAACATCCTTCTTTCAGATGATTTTGAGCCACAGGTTCTGTGCTATAACTTCAATATGCTTTGTTAATTATTTGAAGCTTCATCTGCTCATCCCCTTATCATGGTTCTGCAGCTCTCAGATTTTGGACTTGCTAGTTGGGCATCGACGTCATCCGATATTAGTAGCACAGATGTTGCAGGAACATTTGGGTGTGTAGTGTCTTCTTTTAGTCTATATATTCCCCTTCACATATTCTTTCTAACACTCTTTACTGTGCCAGTTACTTGGCTCCAGAATACTTCATGCATGGCAAAGTGAGTGATAAAATTGATGTCTATGCATTTGGGGTTGTGGTCCTTGAGCTTCTTTCAGGGAGAAAACCAATCTACAGTAAAGATACAAAGGGCCAGGAAAGTCTGGTGATGTGGGTAAGTTCAAACATGGGGCATGGAATTATTTTCATGTCTACTCTTTCTGAATATTGTGATTGTCGTGAATATGTAAGATTAAAAGGAATGCAACTTACTTCTGAGAAAGGAAGCACATTTTCTATTTTTTTCGTGTCCAATAAATGTGCTATTACAAAGAAGTTGCAATAGTGATTCTGTGAAAGTGTACTTAATTGATTTATGTCAATGAATGGGGGTTGATTCCAGGCAAAGCCAATTTTGAAGAGTGGGAGCGTGGCCCTACTGTTAGATCCAAGCCTGGGTAATGACTACGACCAGGATCAAATTGAGAGAATGGTTTTGGCTGCTAACCTTTGCATTAGACATACACCTAAGCTTCGGCCTCCGATCAACCTTGTAAGTTTAATTTTTGCTTTCACTTTCAGCTTTGCATTTTACTTAACTTTTTGGTTTTTATATAACTTCAAATTTATTTATTTGGTGATGTTTTCTTTTCCTCAATCCCAGGTTTTGAAGCTTCTCCAAGGAGATGAGGAAGTTACAAGGTGTGCAAGGCAACAGGTCAGTGCATCAGAAGAAGTTGAAGCATTGGACGGAGAAGCACTTCCTTCTAACATTCAATCGCATCTTAACCTTGCGCTGCTAGACTTGGAAGATGATTCCATTTCTACTAGCAGTGGTGAGCAAAGCATCTCATTAGAAGATTACTTGCAAGGGAGATGGAGCCGCTCATCAAGCTTTAACTAGCCACCTTTTCAGTTTGAACCTCTTGAAAATACACATGGTGGTATATTAGTAGGGTTCCTTTGTACATTCCTTTGTCTTTGTTCAGCCAGAGTTGTTGGTTGAGTCGCTTAAACAAGGTCCTGGAAGAGAGGCTGTTCGCCAGAGGTTTTACCTCCTCCTTGATCTAATCGTTGTATCGCAGTCTGAGTGTCTTAAGCTGGTTTGCCCTTGAATTCACTAGTCTCTCTGTTCTTGAGGCGAATGGATTAGAAAAAAAAGTGGCAGGACACTGAGAATATCCGTTCTGTTCTGGTCAGCATAATAATCGTTTCTTTCCATATGTTGTACATGAAGGGTATCTGATATTAGGAGATAGGTCACGGCATCCTTAACTTTCCAAAGTTTTCTTCTTTTTTCATCTCATCTTTTTAATTATATGTTGCTATAAAGCTTTTGGAAATGAAAAGCAGATTTGAGGAGCTAGGGAACCAACTTAAGAAAGTCTATGAGCCACCCTGCTTTGGCTTTTCTACTCGAATCCAATGTGTCCCAGGTGCTGCAAGTTGAGGGATAGAGCCAAAAGGCTAAGTATTTATACAAAGTTAACTATGAGGAGAATTAGGTTACTTGGAGACTACTCCAAATCAATTATAAAAAATGGGAACTAGGTTACTTGGAGACTACTCCAAATCAATTACAAATTACAATCAACAAATAAAAGGAAACTAAATAACAATTAAATTACTTTCCAAATTTCTAACAATTTGAGCAGCGTCCAATTGCAATTTCTCAAATTTCTCCGCAATCTGCTTTAACCCATACAAGATCTCCTTCCTATCCCTCACTCCCTCCAACTCCAGTATGGTTAACTCCTCCTCCAGTATGGTTATCTGCCTGCTGAGAGGTTTGTTCAAATCATGAAGCTTCTTGGCATATTTGTACTTTTGGTAGGCATTCCACCAGCAAATGGTGGAGCACTTGGTAACGAGTGCATCGCCTTCCTTCATTATTTCTTTGAAATTTTCTACTTCATCCTTGGGATGACCCAACAAAGTGCTATACTTTTCTATGTCTTGGATCAGTGGTTTCATAAAATGTATCCTGGAATTGAGATCTCCGACGAGGGATTTAAAAGTCATTGTCTTTTCAGCAAAACCCAAATTCTCAAACAAAACCCGCGATCTTCTTCTTCTTCTTCTTCTTCTTCTTTTCACGCTTGGGTTTTTCAAATAACTCAAATCTCAAATCTCTCTCTATAATCAATTAAATAAAAGGGGTATTTATAATCAACTAAAACCTAGAGACAATAGGATAAAAGCCCTAGCCAAAACAAAAATCCTAACCCAAATAAAATAGGACACTTATGAGGTTGTATTCAATTAGGATTCTAGAGCGTTTAAAAAGATTTTGTTTAAGTGCCAAATTTCATAGAACTTTATGGAACTTTAGATTACTTTCAAAAGACTTCTATATAATTGTTTTATAAACTTTCTTAAGATTTGTATGGCTTTTATTCTAGACTTCTATAATTTCTTTAACATATTTTTTTAAAAATGAATGCTAACTTGGCATCCTTACCCAGATGAAGCACTACATCATGTAGTAGGCAGGCTGGTTCATAGCATATATGTTGAGATGAGAAAATTTCTGCATTGAGGGATGAGAAAATTTCTGAACTGATGTTGATATTGGACTTGAATCCAATTTTATAAACTTAGAAACAATTTTTAAGTCCAAAGCCCAAAAAACCTGTTTGGTAGGCTCATTTTTGAAACCCAAACGAAAAAAAAAATTGAAAACACCCACCATCCTTGAAATAGCTCCAAACTTAGACTAGCATGATTTCTATTCATAATGTATGAGTAAATTAGTCAGCCATTGATGTCCTGTTCAACTGCAGGCTATCTTTTTTGTAGAATGGCGCAACGTGAGTGTGTGAGTGCGTATATTTGTTTTAGTTTGCTGCATCATCTATTTAAGTGTAACTTGCGAACCAAAATTTATAGTTTACAATGGAGAGCATGAATACCTCTGTCCATTTTTGAAAAAAGGGAATATAAAATGTTCAAAGTTATTCCCAGCTCAGATACATAATTGAATATGGGCCAGTAACCCAGGCATCAATGGGCCAATTGGGCTGACATGCCCTAAATATGGGGTTGAGCCCAATCCCTCTATTATAAGGAGAGACGGTGCTAGTCTAAAAGAAACAACCGAAATTATGTAGTTTCTAGTGACCTTCAAATCACACATCAACACATATGCAAAAGTAACTAATCAAACTACAAAAATAACTTCTACACACATACCAAATTGCAATTTGTTTGGTAAGGAGCCAAGTATTTTGTTTCTAATGTTTTATACCAAATTGCAATTAGTCTGGTAAGGAGATTTATCCCCACTCTGCTAATACCTGTATTTGATTTTGTACCAGTTTCAATTAACTTTGCCTAATCACAACAATGAGTTGCCACGAGCTTATTTCTCTTGCAAAAACATCACATGCTCAGCAGAGACATCCCCCCATTGAAGAAAGTAAGATTACCCATCTGAGTTTCTTTTTCTTTTAATTCGTGTTGCATATTTAAGATTACCCATTTGACTTGAGTTTTGGCAAAACAACAACAAAAAGCATGGCAATATTGTTCAAATGTGATTTTGGCAAAACAACTAATTAATGCTGATCACATGCCCCACCCCTTGATTTGATTCAAGTGGTTTGGTGCATATGTACTTTCCTGCTTGGGTTGGCTTATGTGTTTGGAAAAGAAAGTTGCAATAAATTGATCATAATTTTGGGTACACATTAGACTATAGTGCTTGGCTAACCAAAATCCATACATTCAAAAGATGAGTTCTTGAGGGTAAGTTTCAAAAACTGAATGATTACCCGCAACAAAGAGTTTCAACATAACCGAATAGCATTCATATTGAATTAATAAAACATACATCTCATTAACCAGTGTAGTCACACAATCACAACTAGTCACTTCACTTGACCTGAGAGATATTCGCATTAGATCGCGTGACGGGAGAGATATTCACATTAGATAACGTGCATGTGATTTCTTTTATTCTTCTAGCCTTCTCCAATTTGGCGTAGTATTGAGTTTGAGAATGTGATAATTGAGTTTGAATATGTGATATTTGAGTCTTTTTCTGTAAAACCATTAATCCCAAGAGATGCTTCGCCAATGCCCGAACAGTGAGGCCCTGGCGGTGCTCCTCTTCCATGATCTTCAGAATGCCCATTTGGGTTACCTTTACCCGCCCCAATTCCAACTGGATCACTGCCTCCACAAACTTCTTATGATGCTCCAGTTTCCATGAAAACGACATGTCGTCCTCCTTCTCCTCATCCTTCTTCTTATTAATGTTAAGTCGTTCAAAGTCTCTCATCAAAGCATTGTGAGCGCTGGTTTTCTGAAAACCGCGAGCAGAGATTTTCTGGAAACGCTGAAAGTTGGAGATGTGGGTCAAGAGAGTTGACCGCGGAAAAAGCCTAAAGGCCTCGTTGTTCATGAGCTCCACAATCAGGATCGTCCGCCTGGCTGTACGGACTCTGAGATCATCCAATTCTAATCGGATCATGGTGTCCACGAATTGCTTGTGGTGCTCCAGCGTCCACTCGATTTTTTCCACACTTCTTCTTTGTGGCCTCCTCTGGTAATTTCTTTGCTCACCCTCATCGTGATTTTCTCCGTTCACTTCCATATTGATAATTTTGATCTCTCAATTAGAAAAGTATGAGTTATAGGCTAGGAAGTCCTTGTATATATAGTGATTACTGAGCATACCTTTCCTTGTCTCGCAAGTCAAAAGCAAAATCTCCTACTTGTATCAGGAAACTAACCAAACTCTTTACCCAATTGAAAAAGGAAACAAACGTTTCCATAATTGAGTATGGGCCTAAATATGAAGTTGAGCCCAGACCTTCTATTAGTAGAGGCAATGCCAATTTGAAAGACAAACAAAATTATATAGTTGCTTGTTACTTGCAAATCCCATATGTGCAATAATAATTCATTAAAATTTTAAAAAGTTTAAAAAAAAAAAAATACAAATGATAATACAAACTACAAGGGATAAGGGGATTCGAATATGAGACGATTCTGCAAGTCAATGCCTTTTTTCAACTATACTATTAATTTGAAATTTTTTTTTATAATAAAACACGGGGTATAGCCGCGCGGCTTTACTCTTTGAATATATTGTATTTGAACAGTATCTCCGGGCGGCTGTACTATTAATTGGAATAAAAATTTAAACGCCGCATGGCTATACTATTAATTTCAAAAACAATTTAAAAAAACACCGAGTATAGCCGATTGGCTATACTCTTTTATTATAATATATTTCAACAGTATAGCCGGCGGCTATACTATTTATTAAAAAGAAAAAAGACACAGTATAGCTGCGCGGCCGTACTATTTATTATAAAAATTATAATTCTGTCAAGTTACAACTGAAAATTTCTGCCTGTATATAATATTTTACAATAATTTATTTTAATATTTAATGTATTATTGTTAATCAATAATATGTGGAAATTATGTGTATAATACGTTAAGTTTGTGTGTATTATTGAAGATTTTGTAAAAAATACATATATTAAACATGAAAAATATGTACATGCATGTACAATACATGTATTTTATGTTTGCTTTAAATAAATAAATAAACTTGTATCGCGCCTTTAAGATGTGTACGGAAAATGGAAGTATTATTGAAAAATACATACGTACGTGTAGAATATGAGTATTAAACGGGAAAAATACTAAATTCTTTATACAAATAATAACTCTGGAAAAGTAAAAAATAAAAAGGAAGTGTTATACAAGTATTATATGGAAAACGAAAGTATAATTGAAAAATACATACGTACGTGTACAATACGAGTATCAAATGGATAATACTATAAACTACTCTTATTTATAAACGAAAATCAGGGAAAAACATATTTTCAACAAGTAGCTTAAATGTGATAAAATGTTCAAAAAACTTCATATGCATAGGAATATATAACAGATAATACATAAAAATATCTAAATAGTCCTTAATAATGTAGGTGGCTATCATACAAAGTTTACCAAAGCAAAGTATGTGGTCAACATCTAGAACAAGAAACCAAGAACACTTTCTTTTTAGAAGCCTTGGCAAAAGAAAAATCCAAGCACTCCTTCAAGCATCTTGCATCACCAAAACATTAAAAACCCTAGAACCCAATAAAATTTGTCCTTAAGAAATAATGGCTCAAAATTAGGGGAAAATAAAGATTCAATTATCCATTCCTAGAAGCTCTCTTATTAAACTAGGCCATTCCATTACGTAAGATGTGAACTTAAAGCTACTCAATATTCCACGAATGATGTAAAGCAACATCACCAAAACATTAAAACCC